ACTGTTTAGAAGATGCCTAAACAGAAAACATTCACTTAAATCAGTGGGATTCTATTCAAAGCTGATGTAACACGAAACAAATTCTTTTCCTTAGACTAGCAGGTGCCTACTTCCAATAAATCCCGACAAATGTTTCACACCAGGTGACTCAAAGTGCCCGTGTTATTTTCAGACAAATATTGGCCTATTGTAACTGTAACAAATGACTTTTCACTGCATGGTGTGCTGCAAAAGGGTGGCGCCACAGACTGTATGCATCATGCCTGTCATTCCTAATGCCTGGGTGTGGGAGTCAGGACACATCCACCACATCCACAGAGCTAAGGAATGTGCAGGGATTCATCAGACGCTGGTTCTTACTATGAGGCATGTCCTCTGCAGGTATGGAACTCAGGTCCCCAGATGTCAGATTGCACCCACTTGAGCTGTGTCCCAGGACAACATCCCCACCAAAGTTCTTTCTCTGAGTTCCTATGACCCCTTCATACACTGCTTTCCTAGGCTTCTAAGTGTTAATCCAAAGTGCTTCTTCCTTTTAGCTTCTGCTTTCCCAGTGTGGAGCTAGTGTCCCCAGGCTCTCCACATCAATCCACAGAAGACAGCTCCAGATGTATCCCAGTGAACCCTCAGGACAGGGTTGGGGGGGGTTGATATTTGTGACTGGCTCTCACCAGCCAATGTGGACAGAAGGGACAGGGTGGGAGCTCTGAGCCTCAACCGCCCTACGTTTTGTGATTCTGTACCCTCCTTCCAGAACTAATGACCTTCATAAAGAGACCAGACTAAGTTCCTGGGAACTGAAGGGTCCCAGCCTAGGACTCAGCAGGAGATTCATGGAGCAGAGCTATATATCTGGTCTTCCTGTTGGTATGTGCATACATGCCATTATTATGAAAAGCTAATAGTTTTTTAATTACCCAAGTGAAACCTCTACCTGCAAGCTCACCGGCATCTTCAACAGTTCTCCCTAGGTGATGCTGGATGTACACACTACTGTCTGTGTGGTTTGTCATAACAAAGCATCACATTTTAGGAGATGGGGCTGTCTTCAACCCTGAGAATGTACTTCATCATTCATCTTATGAAAGTGCGCGCACACACACACATACACACACACACACACACACACACACACACACACACACACACACACACACACACACAAGTGTTCAAGACAAACACACACAGGACTCCTCTCCACTGCCCAGGAAGCTCACCACCTCCCTCCCTTTTTTTTGGTGATCACACACATGCTTCCATCTGTACATTTTTACCATTGGCACTTTGATTAATTTGATGTGTTTTGCTAACGTTATGCACTCCTTGAGTGTTACTATATTTAGACATGGGAGAATGATGCCTATTGGCATCATATTACATGGCACAAATACACTCTATTTTTTAGGCCTAATCTACTGATGGACACTTCAGTTGTTGCCAGTGCTTGCTAGTTGTGGTGGTTTCAAAGAAATGGCCCCCAAAGGGAGTGGCACTATTAGGAGGTGTGGCCTTGTTGGAGGAAGTGTGTCACCGTGGGGGCGGACTTTGATGTCTCATTTGCTCAAAATTCCCTCAGTGCAACAGTCACTCAACTTCCCTTGCATGCAAGATGTAGAGCTCTCAGCTACTCCAGCATCGCATCTGCCTCTATCCTGCCATGCTCCCCACAATCATGATAATAGACAGAACTTCTGAAACTGTAACTGAGCCCCCTCAATTAAATGTTCTCTTTATAAGAGTTGCTGTGGTCATGGTGTCTTTTCACAGCAAAAGAAACCTAGCTAAGACAGTAGTTAAGTATAAAACTGCTATGCCAGTCTGCATTTGTTTCACAGGACACACAGGCAGTGGAGCTACTGAATGAAGCTACTGGGCCTCTAGGGATCTTTGTAGCAGATGATGCAGGGAAATTCCCACTGTTTGTTTTTTTATTTATTTACTTACTTACCTACTTTTTTTTTTTTTACCAATTTATATGCCACCAGAGTGGCATATCCTTAACTTTTATATCCTGGCTTTGTAATTTGGGTAAGAAAAGTAATGAAGGGATTAAGTTCACCAAAATGAGAGACTAAGCCAAGAAAAAAAAAAAAAGAAGAAGGATACACAGACACAAGAGATAAAGGAATTTCTAAGGCAATGAAGAGAAAGGAACAAACAGACCATCTCTATGACCAAACAAGCCACGCTGAAGCAGGAGACAGAGGCTCCGGGAAAGGGAAAACAAAGCTCGCCAAGGCCACTGGGGCAGGCTCACACTGACAGTCCTTTCAGAGTGACTGAGGAGAATTAGAAACAGGAACATAGGACACTAAGTGCAGCAGAATAAAACTATCATAACTTCAGAATCCAAGAGCCAGTAGACACATTACATGGTTCTGTTAAATACGTGGTTTTCAAATCCTACAGTTTCTCCTATAGTTTCCCTTTTCATCATCTTAAGAAAATTACTTGTAGGGCAAAAGCTTTCAATTTTGATTATGTCCAAATTTTTATTCTTACAGCCTAGTCATTAATATAAGAGCTTTTCTTTTTTGAGCCCTAGATCCTAATGATGTGTTCTACTGATTTTCTCTAATGGCCTTATATTTTTATCATTCTTTTTGATTCAAAGACCATTTTAGTTAATTTTTGTGTAAGATACAAGACTTTGGTTGAAGCTGATTATTTTTGCCTAGAGATATGTAACTGATCTAACATCTGTGGCAAGGCCTTCTCCTCTGTGTGAATCTGTTTGTGGCTTCACTGGTCTGTCTCCACCACATAGTCTTGATTACTGCATCGCTAATCCAGAAAAGGAATAGAAAGAGGATTCTTTGCATTTTATTCTTTTCAAAAGTTCTTTTCTTCTTCCTCCTCCCTTTTTTCTTCTTTCCATATATGCCTTAGAAAATGATTTTCAGTGTCTATAGAAATTCTTGCTGGGATTTTGATAGGAGTCAAATGAACCTACACTTCAATTTCAGAAGAAAGGACACTGATTTTTATGTTGTGTTTAAGTTCAAGAATAGAGCACATCTCCCCACTTTCCTTGATTTATTTCAGTACTGTTACAGACTTTTTGGTGAATGAGTCTGATATGTGCTTTGTTAGATTTATACGTATTTTGAGTGACCATAATAATACTTCATTTTACATTGCATTGTCTTCTTTCTCATTTCCAAGGCAGAGAAATACATCAAATTGTGTATTTCAATGTGTCCTGTAACCTTTCCAAACCCATCTATCAGTTCTTTGTTGGTGTTATCTATTTGCATTGTTTGCTGTCCTTTAAATTTTTCCATTGGGATTTTATACGTAGACACCAATGCCATCTAAATGAAGTTGATTTTGTTTTCCTTTGCAATCTGTACACCTTGTATTTTATTTTCTTGTCTGACTACATAGACTTTGAGCTTCCATCACTGTGTCCATGTTGAATAAGACCTGTGAGAATAAGCATGCTTGCTTTGTTCTCGATTTCAGGAGAAAAGTAGTCAATCTTTCACCATCAATTGTGTTAATTATAGGATTTTGAAGTCACTTTTCCAGCTTGAAGGTATTACCTATTACCTATTTTTCTAAGTCAGTTTTTTTTTATATTTTTCTTAAGAATAGGATCTCATTTTCTTTAATTACTTTAAACACTATTCAGTGGGAAAATGCTAATATAGTTAGAACATAGTACCCTAAACTGCAGTCAGATTAGGAACAGTTGTCATTTCACAAAAATAAAATTATTCAAAATACTCATGACTGTTTTCCAATTCTAAAGATTAGATCAGGGAGTTCTGACTCCCTCTTTTTAAATGGAAAATAGATTTTTTCATACAATATTTTTTAAATCTGGTAAGTTATTTTTCAAATCACAAGAGGGTGTTCAATTTTGCCAACTGTCCTCTGTGCATCAGCTGATCTACCCATGTGGCTTTCCTTCTTGGTCCTTGGATCGGATTGATTGGCTTTGTAATGATGTGCATTATTTATAAACATGAATATGTATTTCCTT